ATATAGGTCATGCTTATACTAGTGTAATATCTGATGTCATGGCCAGGTTTATGCGGCTATTAGGGAAAGAAGTCAGATTTTTAACCGGTACTGACGAACACGGCCAAAAGGTAGAAAAATCGGCGATTGCCCGTAATATGGAACCACAACAATTTACTGATCAGGTTTCTCAGCATTTTCGTAATTTAATGTTATCCATGAATATCTCTAACGATGATTTTATTAGGACTACAGAAGAGCGCCATAAGCAAACAGTAATATATTTATGGCAACAATTAGTAAGTAGCAATAATATTTACCTTAGCTCTTATAATGGTTGGTATTCCCTACGTGATGAAGCATTTTATAATGCATCCGAAGTAGTAGATGGACTAGCTCCTACTGGAGCACCGGTTGACTGGGTAGAAGAGCCTAGCTATTTCTTTCGCTTATCAAAGTGGCAAGGTAAATTGCTTGAGTTTTATTCTAATAACCCTAATTTTGTTAAGCCAGCTACTAGATATAATGAAGTAATTAGCTTTGTTAAATCTGGGCTTCATGATCTCTCTATTTCTCGTTCTAGCTTTAAATGGGGGATAAAAGTCCCAGGTCATGATGAGCATGTTATATATGTATGGCTAGACGCTCTTACCAACTACATTTCTGCGTTAGGGTACCCATATCCTTGCGATAATTATCATAAGTTTTGGCCAGCTGATGTTCATGTTGTAGGTAAAGATATTTTACGTTTTCATGCGGTATACTGGCCAGCATTTCTTATGGCTGCTGGGCTTGAACCTCCTCGCTGCATAATGGCCCACGGATGGTGGACAAATGATGGCCAAAAAATCTCTAAATCTATAGGCAATGTCATTGATCCTATAAAATTAATAGAAGAGTTTGGCCTAGATCCTGTAAGATTCTATTTAATACGCGAAGTAATACTCGGATCAGATGGTAACTTTTCCCGCAATAATTTTATTAATAGAGTAAATAGCGAGCTATCCAATAAGATCGGCAATTTGTTACAGAGAACATTAACTTTAACCTATAAAAATAATGAAGGCCGGCTACCATTAATTAGCGAAGATATCCTAAATAAAATTTATAGTTCACCTTTAATTATAAGACTTGAGAAATCAGTTTTAAAAAATTCCTCATTGATGAGCTCATTTGATATTAATGCAGTACTAACTAGTATTATTAACGTAGTAGAGGAAGCAAATATATATATAGACCAAGAAGCACCTTGGAATTTAAAGGAAACCGACCATAGTCAAATGTCTGAAATCCTCTATACCTTGCTAGAACTAATTAGATATATAGCTATAATGTTACAACCATTTGTCCCTAA